CATGAACATGGGCTTCTCATATGGGTCCAGGTGCATGACTGCTGTACCACTGCCTGATCCTCTTCTTTTCCAGTCTTACGTCTTACGTGATTTCATTCAAATTCATGATTTAGGAATTAGATATGATCTCTATGTCAGTCATTCTTAAATTTACTTCACATCCCGGACCTCCCGGACCTCTTTTCAAGTTCTATATCTGTATTTCTAACTGCCTTTTCAAACTTCGCCACTAACATCTAATAATGACCTCTCATACTTGGTATTCATAATGCTTTCTTTTCCCACAATTAGTTAATTTACTCCTTGCTGAATCTCCTAATATTTTGCTAGCAGCATTTATTTCAGTAAACTAAACCTTTACCTAGCTAAGCAAGCCAGCTCTCTCTTCTCCCTGCAGTTGATCCATTACCTCATCCTGTTGATTCTTTTTATTTTGGAGAGGTTTTTGCTATAGGGCGCGTGTGCTCGCCAGACAGACAGAGAGAGACAGAGAGACAGAAAGTGAGAAATCACCCCCCAGGGGGGATGGTCACGCCGCAATCCCTTCTCCTCCATTCTCCTCTCGGGATCTTGAGCACGCACGCACACGTGCCCGGCGTGAGTTTTAAGCCACTGGGTCTGGAACGCGAACCGTGGTCGACTACATGGGAGTCCACCAACATAGCCATTACGCTAACTGCTGGTTCCCCATCCTGTTGATTCTTGTATCTAAATTCCTTCCCCTTTTGTCCATCTTCAGAATTATTTTAGTCCAAGCTATGGTCATATTCTGGCCTCACAACATGCAGCTTGTGTTGCCAGTTAAAATATAGGCCACCCAGTGAAATGACTTCACCTCCTGGGTCTTCTTTTTTTTTAGAATTATTTATTTTTACTTAATCCCATTTGTTATTATTTTCATTATTTAATTTGACCAGAGCGAGACAGAGAGAGAGAGAGAAAGGGAAAACAGGAAAGCAAGCCGCCAGGTACAGGACTCAAATTGCAATTTGCCATGTGAGAATCCTGCACCCTTATCCACCAGACCACCTGCCAGCCCCTCCCGGCTCTTAAGACTGGCGGCCTCTGAGGTCACATAGAGTATCTAGGCCATTTTTCAGTATGAGCATCACAACATTCACAAATCTTCTAGATATGAAAACAGTTGTAAAAATGAAAAATTAAATAATGGATTTAATTGGTCTGGGTTTCTCAGATATTTGGGAGGAGAAAGAAAATTCAATATGCTTTCAGTGAATAATATATAAAACTGAACACTTTTATAAGAGTGATTATAGAAAATACTAGAACAAAGGTAAGAAAAATAAGCATCAAAAGACTTGATCTAAGCCAGCTGTGGTGGTGCAGTGATAATGCAATGCTCTGCGATGCTGAGACTAAATAGGAAGGTCTCAAGTTCAAGTCTTGAGGTCTCCTTGCATACAACAGGTACAGACCTGTGATCCAGACTGGCCGAACTGGGGGGGTGGATCAGGGTGTAACGACTCTATTGGGGAGCATTATCTCTCTCTCTCTCTCTCATGGAAAAAATAAGTATATTCAAAGAGCCTTTGAAGTGACACTGCTACAAAGTGCTTCACCTTTGTCTACCTGACAGAATTATTTCCATATTGATCTGTAGATCTTCAAAGTACACATACATTTACTAAAAGATGTACTTTACTTTTTTATTAAAGTATATATTGCAATACCCAGAGAAATGAACATACCTAGCTTGTGTTAGCTACTTTCACTGCCTTACTCATTTTATGTGGTAGATACATAAGCCTCACACATTTAGACTGCTGTGCCTTCCATCTTACCTACAAATAAATATAATTACTTTTACTTGGTTTTGTTCATCTTTTCACAATAAAGCATTGCTAAGGATATAAAATGGCTTTTGATTTTCATAAAGACTTTTAGTAGAGAAATGCTTTCATAAACCTTGCTGGAAATGTTAAATTCCATTCATTTCAAAGTGACAGGTTTATTACTTTGACATCATCAGATATTCACTAAGTCCTCAGAAGAATTTAAGTAAGATATATACTGTTTCCAACTTGGCAGCAGGCCAGCATACCTCCTCCTCATTACCACTGTCGTCAGAGTGTGCCAAGTCCCTTTTCAACTGTCGTGAGATTTGTTTTGCCAGTCATGTATGGGCATTTTACTGCACGCATTGTGAAGTACTTAAAGTTAATCTTATTTATTGCAGTCATATAATCATTCCTAGTCATTTGTAAAAATTTGATCAGAATTGTGTATTTTTTAAGTTTTATAAGAATTACTTTTAGCTTAAAATACTTTCTCACAGAAATACTATTTTCCTACTTTTGTTGACGTGTTTCTGAACACACCAAAGTCACGCACTTTTACCTATGTTTTTAGATACCTGTAAAACTGTCACTCAGATAAAAATACAGGACATTTCCAGAACCCCAGAAGTTTTCTCTGTACCTATTCCCAGTTAACACCCCACAGATTAGCTGTACAATCACTTGAACTTCCTATGTGGAATTATGCTGTATGTACTCTTTAGGGAATAGTTTTTTTCTCACTTAGTATTATATATGTATTGGCTGTTTGGATATGATATTTTTGTGAGGTGTTTAAGTCTTTTTGCACATTTTCAACATAAGATATTTAACTTACTGCTTTGTGGAAGTTTATTGTGTGTTCTGGATATGACACTTTATTGAATATAATCACTGCAAACACCTCCCAGTCTATCTATGGCTTTACTTTTCATCTGTTTAACCTTGTCTTTTGATTAATAAAGACTTTTATTTTAATGAAGTCCAATTTATCCATCTTTTCTTTTATGATTCATTCTTTCTGTGCTCCTTTCAGGAAATGATTGCTACCTTAGATTGATGAAGAGTTTATGGTTTTCTTTGTAGATGCTTTATTGTTTTCCCCTTCACACTTATGTGTTTGATTAATTAATTTCTATTTAGTTAATTAATTATTTTCTGTGCATTTTGCAAAGTAAGGGCCAAGCAAGGTTCAGTGTTTTTCTATGTGGATTTTCAATTGACTGAGCACAGTTTATTGAAAAGACCATCCTTTCTCCACAGAATTGCAGTAGCCCCTTTGTGAAAGTGAAAAAATCATATGTTCATGGCTCTGTGTATATATATATACATATATATATATATATATACATATATATATATATATGTGTGTATATACACATATATATATACACATATATATGCACCAAAACGACATTCCAAAAATTCCTACTTGATATATATACACATATATATATATATGTGTATATACACATATATATATACACATATATATGCACCAAAACGACATTCCAAAAATTCCTACTTGATTGTTTTTCTCTAGCTATTCTTTAATTTTTATTTTGGCTATGTATGTTAGGGATTTGTGTGTGTGTGTGTATAATTCCATATAAATTTGAAAATAAGTTTGTCAGTGTTTACACACACACACACACACACACACACACACCCCACCCTTTGGGGATTTTACTTGGCACTGTGCTGAACTTAGAGATAATACTGAGAACTGACATCTTAGCAATATTGAGTTTTCCTATCTAAGTACTTGGTTTATTCCTTCAGTTATTTAGATGTTTAGTTCTCTCAGGAATGTTCTGTAGTCTTTGGTGCAGAGATATTAGATGAGATATGTGGTTTTCATAAAAATGACTATGAATTCACATCAACAACTGATAATGTTTACAAAGTATTCAATAATTTGATTATTTTTATACCCATATTCAGGTTAAGATATTTAAGACAGTAATATCCAAAGTAGCCAAGCAACCTCTAAAACTAGTAATTTCACTCAATTTACAAATAGTATATTCCAAATGTATATTTTTATTTATTAACTTTTTACTTCTAAGTTTGATTAAGTGGTAACAATATTTAGAAAGTGGTTTATTATTCTGGTTAAATATGTTGAGATGATGCCCTGTAGCCAGGCTCAAGGTCTGTGATATATTGATATTTATTAAATGAGGGGCTGAAGAGCTCAGCAGCTGGACTGGAGAATCGGCAGCTTCTACTTCCCACAGATCAGGACATTGATTGTGTTTTAAACAGTTTATCTACTCTCTGTATTTAAAGATTTTAAGTCACTAAACTGAAGCAGGGATTGTAGACCTGGAGAATTAAAATTGTGATTGCATGAGGCCAAAATATTTAATCAATTTAGTTTAAGATCCTAAAATATAGATCTTAACTGTCCAAGGTACAGTTACATTAAGTAATTTGAAATTTGGCTGCCATTTCTAAACTAACTATTAAATTTGTAGCATCTAGTTTGGATTAGATTGAACCATAACCTAGATATTAAAAATTTAGTGTGTACTGTGTCTGTATTGTGGTTATACTGAGCATGTAAATTCATTGTAGACTAATTCATTGGAGACTAACTTTATCTTTCATTTCTTTGATTATCACTAAGTGTCTTAGAATATAATTAATACTTTCTCAATAACTATTATCTCATGGTTTTTCATTATAGTCCACATTTTTAGGACAAAGGTCTCTCTGTCATTTTTTAAATCTTATTTTAGTAACTTCCATCTATGTCTTTTTATCTTCTCAAAGCCTGAAATAATCTTCAAACTTGTTTTACAATATAGTAAGAGTTCTTTTGTTTTCATAATAGCGTATACTTTGAATATGAAAGTTTAATGATGCTGCTAAATCCAGCTAATTACCTAATGTTGAGTATATAGCAATAATGAGAATGTTAGAATAATATTGATAATAATAATAAAAGCTAAAACTAACAAGAACTCACTGTGTACCAGACAGTGTTCTAAACACTTGACTTGAATACCCATAAAACCCTTACAAATGCACTATGAGTGGGGAAAATCTTATTCTCATTTTACAGAAATGTAATAAAACATTCTAATTTATTTCCATTTTAATCTTAAATTCCTGATTGTATTGTATGACTCAAGTTTATTTGAAAAAATCTGATATACAATGTGGTACAAGTCATCTATGATCTTTTTTTATTAATAGAAAAAACATGTCCTATACTGAGAGCAGAAGGACATCAGCTTACACAAGACAACAGAAATAAACTTGAAGTTTCAGGTAAGCATTATAATCCTTGGCAAAGTGGAATTTTCTATAAAATTACCATTACAGATGATTCTTTGACATCACAATGTAAGATCATAGCATAAATATGAAATTAAAACTAGATGGCATAGGGACCAGCAGTTGGCATAATGGCTGTGATGCTGGACTCTCATGTAGCTGACCACAGTTTGAGTCCTGGATCCAGTGGCTTAAACTCATGCCGGGCATGTGTGCGTGTGTGCCCAAGATCCCTGGAGGAGAAGGGATTGAGGCATGACCATCCTCCCTATGGGGTGATTTCACACTTTCTGTCTCTCTGTCTCTCTGTCTTTCTGGTGAACTCATACACCCAATAGCAAAAAACTCTCAAAAAAAAAATAGATGATATAGAAAAACTGTTGGGAATAGAGTTCTATATTGTTTAAGATTAAGTAATACTTCAACTTCTCGGATAAATAAAGTCATTTAAAATTATAAAAATTGTATACCTTGAATAAATTTTGAAATAAGAAAATTTATGAGAAGATGTCACCAACCAGATATAATCATGCTTAACATTTTGATGTAACATTGCTTTCTTTCTCCTTCCTTCCACCTCTTTTTCTTCTCTTTCTCTCCCTCACACACTCATATATGTATGTGTATATATATATATATATATATATATATAATTATAGTAAATATATTGTATGGAAATCCAAGATTTACCCTCATCAATATACATTCTTTTAAAGCATATATTTTTTTAAGAGATTGCTTTGGTTTTAACCAAACCTACTGTTTTTCATCTATCTAATATTCTGCCTTTAGACCTCTAAACTGCTACAATGAGCTAATTTAATTATTTGTTTAGGATAATTCATAGGTCAAAAAAATTTCTATTTGAATATTTAGTAATATTTGTGACTTTTTCTCCAGAAAGTTAGCTATATATTTTATATGCAGGATGAATTTCATTCTCCTATACCCTGAAAGAAAAATAAAAATCAAGAAATTTTATCAATTCCAAACAGCAGGATTTAATTTTAAATAAACCAGTCTATAGATAAAAACAACAAAAATATCTTATATAAAAATCAATGTTTGTGTGAGTTTGCCGAATTTAATAAAACTGCTTGATTAAATCATGTGTCATATTTCCCAGGTTTTGATCTAGGAGAGAGCTTTTCTCTGCGACGTGCATTTTGTGAAGGTGATAAAACCTGTTTCAAATTGGGAAGTGCACTTCTTATTAGAGATACTATGTAAGTAAAGTAATACTTTTTAAACATTTTTAATAATACTACACAAATTATTTTCTAAGGAAATTCCGAATAATTTTTTTTAAAAAGTCTTCTCAATAGTATCATCTTCTCTTTAGTGCTGTGATAAATATGCTGCTTTGTGAATATATTTTTTATGAATATTTTTCCAGTCTGATTTTCTCTATAGTGTAATATATCATTTACATGTTCAGTGAAAAGTATACACTTTTGAGGAAAGATAGTTAAATCACTTCTGAAGACATATATTTTCATTTAAAATAAACATAGCCAATATTAGAGATTTTATTTTTCTTTCTTTCTTTTTTTATTGCTATATAGTACGTGTGCTCACCAGAGAAAGGGAAAGTACAAAATCACCCCCCGGAGGGGATGGTGACACTGTCTTCTTCAGCAGTCTCCTTCTCAAGATTTTGGGCATGCACACGCATGTGCCTGGTGTGACTTTTAAGCCATCGGGTCCAAAACTTGAACTGCACAATCAGCCATGTGAGATTCACTCTACCTACAGACCCAACAAATAGTAGTTTTTTTTTTTGAATTATTCCTTTAATTTTATTTACTGTCATTTTTTTTTTTTAATTTACCAGAGAGAGAGAGAGAGAGGGAAAGCAAGAGAGCAAGCCACCAGGTCTGGGACTCGAACTACAGTCAGCCATGTGGGAGTCTAGTGCCCTAACATGACATTACATGCCAGCCCAGTACTAGGTTTTAAAATGTGAACACATAAAATGCAATGTAGACTCTGTGATGAAAGACTGATATACATTTTATTTATTTCAAAATTTACTGTGCTTCATGATAAATGAAAAGAACTTAGCCCTACGGTGTTCATCATACACCTTTTGTAGATTCTGTAGTAAATAAAAACTGTTTTGTGGTTCTTGATACTTAGTACATTTTAGAATGGAAAATCTTCAATTTAAGATCTTTGGATTTACCAAAAATTTTCTTTGTTATTTTATATTTCTTTTTTCTGCTGATATATCTAGGATAAAAAAAATCACTTGCCATTTAAATATTGACAATCAGTGAGCACTTACATAGGGCAAAGAGTTTCCTATAAGGTTGGCAATAATTTGGGGATGAATTGGTAGTAATTCAGAAAGTTGACCCACCAGGAAAGCAGGTAGCACAAATAGTTTTGATAGGCTTTTAAAAGTTTATTTGCTCATTTCTTCATGAGAGAGAGAGACAGAGATCGGGAGAAAGAAGAGCATTCCCAATAGAATCTTCTTGTGTTCTAACCTGGTATGAGCCTGTCATGGCCAGGGAGGCGCCAGAGTGCAAACCTGGGACCTTCTCTAGTGAGTCCAGCCTCCCGTAGAGTTGTTTACTGTATGCCTCCAGGCTGCCTAGTGGCCATGATATTTATTTCTGTAGTGTAACATGAACATACCCATGTATGAATACATAGTGATGAAAAAAAGCATCAAAATTCCATTTGATTTCATGTACAACACAGACGATTTTGTGTGAAAACATATATAGATATTTTAGTTCCTGATAGGTAGTTTAATACTTACATTACAGACAAGATATTTTTAAATGTCAGCATTTGAATTCTCAAAGGGGAATATTGCATTAATCATCTCATTGCCTATCCTGACATGCTCTGTAACAAACTACATTTTTTAGTCACTTTTCCTTGTGAAAAGTTTTGTCTTTAACTCTCTATTTTATGATACTCTAGGTAATTTTAGTTTAATGACATTGTTCCTTAAAAGTAAACTGCTCAGGGTGCCAGCAGGTGGTGTAGTGGTTAGGGTGCTGGTCGACTGTGGTTCGAGTTTCATATCTGGTCGCTTTGCAATCATACCAGGAGCGCATGTGTTTGAGTGCCCAAAATCCCAGGAGGAGAATGGTAGAGAAGGGATGTGGTGGGGCCATCCTCCCTGGGGGTGACTTTTCACCTTCCATTTCACTGTCTCTTTCTGGCGAGTGCACATGCTTTATAGCAAAAACATTAAAAAAAAAAAAAAAGAAAAAAGAAAGAAAGAAAAGTGAACTGCTCAGGCCAACAGATAGTGTGGAGGTTAACACGCTGGACCCCACATGGCTGACGGTGTAGTTGGAGTCTTGGACTAGTGGCTTGAAAAGTCACACCGGGTATTTGAATGCATTCCTAAAATCCAAAGAGGAGAATAGAGAAGGGAATGTGGCATGTTCATTTTCTCTGGAGGGTGATTTCCCACTTTTCCACTCATTCTCTCTCTCTCGCTCTCTCTCTCTCTCTCAAGTGCTCTGTAACCAAAAAAAAAATAAATAAATAATTAAAGGAAACTGCTCATTGGGACCAGCAGATGGCGTAATAGTTATATTGCTAAGCTCCCACGTGGTCTATCGCAGTTAGTCCCGCAAACTGCTAGGGACCAGCAGATGGCGTAATAGTTATATTGCTAAGCTCCCACGTGGTCTATCGCAGTTAGTCCCGCAGTTAGTCCCGGACAAGTGGCTTAAACTCATGCTGGGTACATGTGTGCTCATGCCCAAAACCCCAAGAGGAGAATGGAGAAGGGATTGCAGGGTGGGGCCACTTGGCTTGGGGAATGATTGCTCGTTTTCTGATTCTCTGTCTCTCTCTATCTCCAGCTAGCACACGTGCCTATAGCAAAACAAACAAACAAAAACTCTCTCTCTCTCTCAAAAAAAAAAAAAAAAAA